TCGCACGGGCCTACTAGTAATAGAATTGAATACATGAGATACCATTGAATAAAATATTAACAATAGTTAACTACAAAGCGGTGTACACAAAGGAACCTCCAGCTCGTGTAACATCCGTCAGTTCCTCTCGTAATTACATTAGCATAATTGAGATCTATTGTAGGGCATCATTACTAAATAGACAATAGCTAGCCGGTACTATCCAATTATCATACCTGCAATGTTGATGTCTGTCGGTCAGTGGACTTAGACATTACAATAACAAAGCAATGCTCTATGTCTATTATCATTTATCATATTTATACAGGTAGAGGGAAAATCTGGAATTCCCATAGACCATAATGGGATATAAACATTGTTTGCATAAGCGATTCCTGAATTAATGTTCATGGTGTATAGTTTTGAATTTCATGTATAGTATAATACTATCTAGGTAAAAATTAAAGGAAAAGATGTAGGTGTATATATATATATATATATATATATATATATATATATATATATATATATATATAAATGTAAACTTAACTATTTAATTGGGAATAAGGTCATTTAATTATTATTTTATAAACTATTGAATGTTCATTTCTTCTGTTTATTGACGTTTCGATCCCGGTATTTTCTTTTTATTAGTCAACCATCGGATCCTCTTCAAAGCTAGAATTTTAAAAATAGAGCTTCGATCAGGCCAGGGACACACCGACAGTCTCAGCACCGTCCACTAGCACATATATTAAGTTACTCAATAGCTTAATACTAGAGTAGCTTAATATATGTGCTAGTGGACGGTGCTGAGACTGTCGGTGTGTCCCTGGCCTGATCGAAGCTCTATTTTTTAAATTCTAGCTTTGAAGAGGATCCCATGGTTGACTAACAAAAAGAAAATACCGGGATCGAAACGTCAATAAACAGAAGAAATGAGCATTCAATAGTTTATAAAATAATAATTAAATGACCTTATACCCAATTAAATAGTTAAGTTTAAATTTAATACTCAAAGGTCGATTAAGGAAAAGTTGTAAATATATATATATATATATATATATATATATATAATATATATAATATATATATATATATATATATATATATATATATGTTAAATATTGATGATTAAAAAAAATCTCGACTACCGAAATAGGGAAATCCCGCCAACCCTTAAATTTTTAAGTGAGATCACAGAAGTTTTTTTAGCACAATTTGGGCTCAAGACACAGACAAATCATTGTATAAAATGTTTGTTAAAGTAACCAAAGTTAATGTAACCAACCAATTGACCGGTTTTTAAGTTAAATGATTCAAATGACTCAAGTTCTCGAGAACGTTTTGATAAGAATTGAGCTAAAAATAGTGAGACATTTTTTTACAATATCGCTACTGTTAGTGCACAAATGTCATGCGTAACAATTTTTCATGTTTATTTTATTTAGGGTAAATATGACATTTTTTGGTCTGCAACAGCTATAAGGCGTCTGCTACTATAGGAAACGATAAAGGAAAATAAAATATGTAATTATACTAACAAATCATAAGGAAATAATCGTTTTTTTATATTCTTCTGTAAACAAAAAAAAATTTACATTCGACCGTTTGCGGGGTGGCCGAGTGAGGTAACGCATGTTCGTATTGCCCGGCAACCTGATAACCGAAGTTACATATAAAAAAAATAATTACGAGTTCGTGTTCCGGTGACTTTTAACTCTGGGGAGCTTTTAACTATGTTTGTATTTTTTAAATTTTATTTATTTATTTTTAAGTTATTTTATTCTTATTAATTGTATAAATATATATATTCGTCTGCTTAATTTATTGTATGCAGAGTGTGAATGTGATCTCTGAACACTATCGAAAATGTCCTTTCAGACAGATTGTAATATTTCTCAATAAACAAATTCTTAAAAAAAAAAATGGTAGCGATTATAAGTATTCTTAAATTTTTATTGGTTTCATATCATATAATTAAGATCCTAATCATGTGTGTTGAATACAAATTGTCAATACATAAAAAACTATAAAGGTTAAATAATAAACTATTTGAATAAAAAAAAAAAACGACTACAGAAATTGGGAATCTTCTCCGTTCTTAGGAAATGTTCTTACAATATTCAATGTTAACCAAGAACCATATACAATGTTTAATGAAGTTTTAGATTAAAAGCATTCTTTCAAACAATATAAAACAATCCCAGAGCTTGTGTTCGTGTGTATAGCAACACACTAATTACTACGAAATATCGTATGGTACATTAAAATGTATAACTATTTGGATATCATCCTAAACATAAATTAAAGGTGCGCTAAGACATTTCACAAATTAAAGGACAAACAGAAATATGAATAGCTATTTTACTATGCTAGTATTTTTGTTACCAGTTTTTGATATTTTTCATATTTTGTCAGTATTAGAATAAGTAAAATAAATAGTTTGATTTAGTAATAATGTCGCTGTTAGTTATGCTAGATTACTGTGTTTTCCATAGTTTGTAAAATGTCTAAACGCACATTTAAATCTAATTTTAATTTAAATAATTTCTTCTGTTTTTGTACCACACACAGACTTCACTAACACTGTGCACGATAACAATGTACTTAACACTTTAGACGTGCCCTTACAACTAACTTCACCTCCTATTTCATTTAAACCTTCCCAGATTGCTGAACAAATCAAAAAGTTGTCTAAAAGAAAAGCTCCTGGAAATGACTTGATTAACGCTGAAGTGCTCCAACAAATGCCTAGAAAAGCTGTAGTGCTTTTGATAACTATTTATAATGCAATACTGAGGACAACTAAATTTCCACTACAGTGGAAATACTCACATATAATAATGATTCACAAGCCTAACAAGGACAAAAACTCACCTTCCTCATACCGACCAATCAGCTTACTACCTATCTGTTCCAAAATTTTTGAAAGCATACTGAACAAAAGACTTGTTGATATACCAACAAACACCCAAATAATACCTGACCATCAATTTGGATTTAGGGCACATCACTCAACTGTACACCAACTACATAGAGTAACGGACTACATATCTACAGCACTAGAGCAGAAAGTATATGCAACTGGCGTATTTCTGGATGTTGCTCAAGCGTTTGACAGAGTTTGGCACCAGGGTCTTCTCTTTAAACTCAAGACAATACTCCCACCTACATATTATCTAATTCTACAATCCTTCCTTTCCGATAGATTTTTCTCGGTCCGACACGGGTCAGAACTATCTTCCATCAGGTCTATCTCAGCAGGAGTACCTCAAGGTTCAGTACTCGCTCCACTACTCTATATCACATACACCCATGACATACCTTGCAGTCCCAACATTTTAACAGCGACATATGCAGACGACACAGCAATTTTAGCAAGACACAAAAATCCAACATACGCCTCACAGACCCTACAACAGTATTTAACAAGATTACATGACTGGTTCAAAATTTGGAAAATCCGACTAAATCAAGACAAATCACAGCACATCACATTTACGCTTCGACATGAAACATGCCCTCCAGTTTTCCTTGACAATACACAGATTCCACAGACAGACACCGTTCACTACCTTGGTCTGACATTTGACAGAAAAATGACGTGGGGCCCACATATAATCAAGAAACGAAAAACGCTAAATCAAAGGTTCAGAATTCTGAGTTCACTTCTTTCGAAAAATTCAAAACTAAAACTTAGACAGAAATTGAACACATACAATTACTTACTAAAACCTATTTGGACTTACGCATCACAGATATTTGGAACTGCTAAAAAGACTCACTTAAACAAACTTCAAATCTTTCAAGCAAAAATATTCAGAACAATTACAAAAGCACCATGGTACGTTAGCAACATAACCTTACATACTGACATCCATATGCCGACTGTTAACGAACACATACGGACTCATTACAAACGATTCCATGACAACTTACAAGGACATCCTAATACACTTATAAATGACATGGCCACTACGAATATGCCAGGTAACCTCTGTAGGAGACTGAAGAGGAGCTGGATGAGGAACCTCCTCGATTAATGTAAATATCACTCAGAGGTGCCGCTGGGCACTAATCCTCGTAATGCCTTTCATGACATTATTTTTTTCCAACAACCTCACATTCACTGGTTGTCATTACCACTATGACAGGTGTGAATAAAAAAATTAAACCAAAAAAAAATCTAAAAAAAAATAAACAAGTTTTAAAATATTTATGAGATAAAATTTAGCAATATTACACAGATTTTAATTTTTATTAGAATTACGAATTTTACTATTGCGATGAGATTATAACTGAACTTTGGTGTATATTTAATCAGAACATTAAATTATTTTCATGAATGCTTTAGATTTTCTTTCAAAATTTATATTTGTTACTTTTTATAAACTATTACTCAAATTTTGTTAAAACATATATCAATCGATATATCATATATAAAACATATATTCTCGTATCTCACAACTTATATAATTATATCTATTAAAATAGGAAATAGCAATATACTGAATTTAATTCTTTTATAAAATAAATATAATATAGAAAATAAATAATCCAAAAATATGAATTCCAAGCCACCTAATCTGGAAACGGTTCTATTTTAAACATCGAAAATAGATAGATAGTTTATTGGCAAATATATACATATTTTAACCATGGAATTTGGCCCATTTGGTGTTAGTAGTTATTGTTACTATGACAATGAAAGCATATATAAGCAGATATAAATACGTATACATAGGTATATTCCTATTGCTTACTATAACATTCTACTATAATTTTATAATACAACGAATTAAATGTTTTTTTTATTCCTAGTAAATAATTAAGTAGTTATTCCTAATACTATATAGATAATGAAATAGTTATTTCTAAAACAACATAAAAAAGTGTACACCTTAATATAATTTATAAATATAATGAATTAACGATTCAAGCCTCGACCTTGACCATGCTCCTGTTTTTGTTGTTTATTAAGTAGTAATCGGTTTGTTACACAAAGTATATAGATTCGTTGTAACTTTAAGTTTATATAGTTTTTAACAAAAAGAGATAAATCTTATTTAGTTTATCCACACCATCTTAATCCTATCTCAATCTTTGTGTTTTTTTTTATAGTTTACAATACCATTGCGTATTCTATAACACATATAAATAATTTATTTTCTTTAAATCAGTTTTTTTATATATTTATCTAGTTATTATTATTTTATATCTCTTATGTTGGGATAACGCAATATTGTGATTTCGTTGCTCATCTTATATCATTAATATATGTATATATTTTGTATCCTTTAGCAGTTTGGATTTTAACATAAGTCAATTTTTTTTTATTTGCGTACTTTTGATATTTTTCCTTTTCTGGGGGTTTCACTTTTTCTTTCTATACATGTAATTCTTTTTTTTCTTTTCTTTTTGTTTTTTTTTTCAGTAAAATTATAAGTATAGTTGAGAAGATTTTATTTTATTTTTTAGTAATTTACATACTATTATTTAAGTTGTTATATATATTTTTTTAATCTTTATTAAGTTAGTTTTTGGCCAGATATGTATTTTTTTTTTTGTAACTGTTCATTATTGTTATTCTAAGGGGACTTCGTCCCAAAATAAAGTTTATTTCTATTTCTATTTTTATGAATATTTAGAAGATTTTCTAAGGATGATAATAAAAATAATCACTAGATCATCTTAATATAACGTATAAAGAAATATTTATTAGTAAAATCTGTTAACACAATGAAAATACGGCGGCGGAAGCTTCTATACCGCTATGCTAGACAGTATTGTGGGATTGCAAGTTCAGGGGCAAAGCATTTTACATGAACTGCATTTAAGATTAAAGCCTCCTATGAAAGCTTTTGGAATAATATGTGTTTCTTAATCGTAGTCTAATTTTCTTTTAAAAGTTCGAAAAAGAAAATGAGCGTCTCTTTTTTTTTTTTTTTTTTTTTTTTTTTTTTTTTTTTTTTTTTTTTTTTTTTTTTTAAGTTTAATTAATTATAATGGTAATAGAGAGTGGTGAAATACGAGCCAACATAAGGAGGAGATTATATAAAACTAACTACAGTATTTAGTAACCGATAATAAGATAAATAAAATTTATACGATAAATTTACCACTGTTACTACAATAATATTAAACCTTTTTAATCTTTTTCCTAAATGCCAGATGTAGGCATAACAACTTTACTTAAATTCTATGGAAGGAGTTTTTCTCCTCAGCGGGCAATATATTAATAGCTAAAATTAAATATAGCTGCCATGAAAAATAAAAATGCTTAACTAAAATAATAAATCTTAATAGTCAATACTTACCAAAAGATAATTTTTTTTTATAGATGTCAAGAAACGAGGTTTTCCCTCACACAAAAGGATGGACAATGTAACTCGTATCAAAAAGAAAATTTTCAATAAAATTTTTCAGAAGAAAAGTAATGAACAAGGCTATGTTCGACCTAATAAGGAACGAAGCTATGTACGAACTTCAGGCGTGCACCCCTTGAAAATATCTGAAGTAATATAGATGTTACTGTTCCAAATAACATTGGCTTAACAATTCTTCTGTTTTGAAGAATTATATTATGCGAAAGAAGTAATTTTTATTTTCAAATTGACCCATTCCAAAAAATTGGAAGTCAAAACTTACCGAAAAACGATAATTTTTTGTTATACATGTCAAGAAACGAGGTTTTCCATCACGCAAAAGGATGGACAATGTAACTCCAATAAAAAAAAAATTTCAATTAAATAATCAAGAAGAAAAGTAATGAACAAGGCTATGGACGAACTAATAAGGAACGAAGCTATGTAGGAACTTCAGGCGTGCACCCCTTGAAGATATCTGAAGTAATATAAATGTTACTGTTCCGAATTATATTATGCGAAAGTAGTAATTTTTATTTTCAAATTGGGTCATTCCAAAAAATTAGAAGTCAAAACTTACCAAACGATAACTTTTTTTTTATAGATGTCAAGAAACGAGGTTTTCTCTCACGCAAAAGGATGGACAATGTAACTCGAATCAAAAAGAAGATTTTCAATAAAATTTTTCAGAAGAAAAGTAATGAACAAGGCTATGCACGAACTTATAAGGAACTAAACTAATAAGGAACGAAGCTATGTACGAACTTCAGGCGTGCACCCCTTGAAAATATCTGAAGTAATATAGATGTTACTGTTCCAAATAACATTGGCTTAACAATTCTCCTGTTTTGAAGAATTATATTATGCGAAAGAAGTAATTTTTATTTTCAAATTGGGTCATTCCAAAAAATTAGAAGTCAAAACTTACCAAACGATAACTTTTTTTTTATAGATGTCAAGAAACGAGGTTTTCCCTCACGCAAAAGGATGGACAATGTAACTCGAATCAAAAAGAAAATTTTCAATAAACTTTTTCAGAAGAAAAGTAATGAACAAGGCTATGTACGGACTAAGAAGGAACTAAACTAATAAGGAACGAAGCTATGTACGAACTTCAGGCGTGCACCCCTTGAAAATATCTGAAGTAATATAGATGTTACTGTTCCAAACAACATTGGCGTAACAATTCTCCTGTTTTGAAGAATTATATTATGCGAAAGAAGTAATTTTTATTTTCAAATTAGGTCATTCCAAAAAATAATAAGTCAAAACTTACCAAACGATAACTTTTTTTTTATAGATGTCAAGAAACGAGGTTTTCCCTCATGCAAAAGGATGGACAATGTAACTCCAATAAAAAAGAAAATTTTCAATAAAATTTTTAAGAAGAAAAGTAATGAACAAGGCTATGTACGAACTGATAAGGAACGAAGCTATGTACGAACTTCAGGCGTGCACCCTTTGCAAATATTCGAAGTAATATAAATGTTACTGTTAAATTCTATGGAAGGAGATTTTCTCCTCAGCGGGCAATATAATAATAGCTAAAATTAAATATAGCTGCCATAAAAAATAAAAATGCTTAACTAAAATAATAAATCTTAATAGTCAATACTTACCAAACGATAATTTTTTTTTATAGATGTCAAGAAACGAGGTTTTCCCTCACACAAAAGGATGGACAATGTAACTCGTATCAAAAAGAAAATTTTCAATAAAATTTTTCAGAAGAAAAGTAATGAACAAGGCTATGTACGAACTAATAAGGAACTAACTAATAAGGAACGAAGCTATGTACGAACTTCAGGCGTGCACCCCTTGAAAATATCTGAAGTAATATAGATGTTACTGTTCCAAACAACATTGGCTTAACAATTCTCCTGTTTTGAAGAATTATATTATGCGAAAGAAGTAATTTTTTTTTCAAATTGGGTCATTCCAAAAAATTAGAAGACAAAACTTACCAAACGTTTATTTTATTTTTTAGTAATTTACATACTATTATTTAAGTTGTTGTATATATTTTTTGAATCTTTATTAAGTTAGTTTTTGGCCAGATATGTATTTTATTCTTTTGTAACTGTTCATTATTTTTATTCTAAGGGGATTTCTTCCCAAATTAAAGTTTATTTCTATTTCTATTTTTATGAATATTTAGAAGATTTTCTAAGGATGATTGATTAAACATGGAAGATATTATACATCAAATATATACTTAGTCATTAAAAAATAATCACTAGATCATCTTAATATAACGTATAAAGAAATATTTATTAGTAAAATCTGTTAACACAATGAAAATACGGCGGCGGAATCTTCTATACCGCTATGCTAGACAGTATTGCGGGATTGCTAGTTCAGGGGCAGTTACAGGGGGCAGTTACATGAACTGCCTTTAAGATTAAAGCCTTCTATGAAAGCTTTTGGAGTAATATGTGTTTCTTAATCGTAGTCTAATTTTTTTTAATAATTTTCTTTTAAAAGTTCGAAAAGGAAAATAAGCGTCTTTTTTTTTTTTTTTTTTTTTTTTTTTTTTTTTTTTTTTTTTTTTAAGTTTAATAAATTATAATGGTAATAGAGAGTGATGAAATACGAGCCAACATAAGGAGGAGATTATATATAACTAACTATAGTATACAGATAATAAAATTTATACGATAAATTTACCACTGTTACTACAATAATATTAAACCTTTTTAATCTTTTTCCTAAATGCCAGATGTAGGCATAACAACTTTACTTAAATTCTATGGAAGGAGTTTTTCTCCTCAGCGGGCAATATATTAATAGCTAAAATTAAATATAACTGCCATAAAAAATAAAAATGCTTAACTAAAATAATAAATCTTATTAGTCAAAACTTACCAAACGATAACTTTTTTTATAGATGTCAAGAAACGAGGTTTTCCCTCATGCAAAAGGATGGACAATGTAACTCGTATCAAAAAGAAAATTTTCAATAAACTTTTTCAGAAGAAAAGTAATGAACAAGGCTATGTACGAACTAATAAGTAACTAAACTAATAAGGAACGAAGCTATGTACGAACTTCAGGCGTGCACCCCTTGAAAATATCTGAAGTAATATAGATGTTACTGTTCCAAATAACATTGGCTTAACAATTCTTCTGTTTTGAAGAATTATATTATGCGAAAGAAGTAATTTTTATTTTCAAATTGACCAATTCCAAAAAATTAGAAGTCAAAACTTACCAAACGATAAATTTTTTTTTATAGATGTCAAGAAACGAGGTTTTCCATCACGCAAAAGGATGGACAATGTAACTCGAGTCAAAAAGAAAATTTTCAATAAAATTTTTCAGAAGAAAAGTAATGAACAAGGCTATGTACGAACTAATAAGGAACGAAGTACGAACTTCAGGCGTGCACCCCTTGAAAATATCTGAAGTAATATAAATGTTACCGTTCCTAATTATATTATGCGAAAGAGGTAATTTTTATTTTCAAATTGACCCATTCCAAAAAATTAGAAGTCAAAACTTACCAAACGATAATTTTTTTTTTTATAGATGTCAAGAAACGAGGTTTTCTCTCACACAAAAGGATGGACAATGTAACTCGTATCAAAAAGAAAATTTTCAATAAAATTTTTCAGAAGAAAAGTAATGAACAAGGAAGGAACAAAACTAATAAGGAACTATACTAATAAAGAACGAAGCTATGTAGGAACTTCAGGCGTGCACCCCTTGAAAATATCTGAAGTAATATAGATGTTACTGTTCCAAATAACATTGGCTTAACAATTCTCCTGTTTTGAAGAATTATATTATGCGAAAGAAGTAATTTTTATTTTCAAATTAGGTCATTCCAAAAAATAATAAGTCAAAACTTACCAAACGATAACTTTTTTTTTATAGATGTCAAGAAACGAGGTTTTTCCTCATGCAAAAGGATGGACAATGTAACTCCAATAAAAAAGAAAATTTTCAATAAAATTTTTAAGAAGAAAAGTAATGAACAAGGCTATGTACGAACTGATAAGGAACGAAGCTATCTACGAACTTCAGGCGGGCACCCTTTGCAAATATCCGAAGTAATATAAATGTTACTGTTAAATTCTATGGAAGGAGTTTTTCTCCTCAGCGGGCAATATATTAATAGCTAAAATTAAATATAGCTGCCATGAAAAATAAAAATGCTTAACTAAAATAATAAATCTTAATAGTCAATACTTACGAAACGATAATTTTTTTTTTTATAGATGTCAAGAAACGAGGTTTTCCCTCACACAAAAGGATGGACAATGTAACTCGTATCAAAAAGAAAATTTTCAATAAAATTTTTCAGAAGAAAAGTAATGAACAAGGCTATGTACGAACTAATAAGGAACTATACTAATAAAGAACGAAGCTATGTACGAACTTCAGGCGTGCACCCCTTGAAGATATCTGAAGTAATATAGATGTTACTGTTCCAAATAACATTGGCTTAACAATTCTCCTGTTTTGAAGAATTTTACTTTGCGTGCGAAGTCACTTTTATTTTCAAATTAGGTCATTCCAAAAAATAATAAGTCAAAACTTACCAAACGATAACTTTTTTTTTATAGATGTCAAGAAACGAGGTTTTCCCTCATGCAAAAGGATGGACAATGTAACTCCAATAAAAAAGAAAATTTTCAATAAAATTTTTAAGAAGAAAAGTAATGAACAAGGAAGGAACTAAACTAATAAGGAACGAAGCTATGTACGAACTTCAGGCGTGCATCCCTTGAAAATATCTGAAGTTCTATAGGTGTTACTGTTCCAAATAACATTGGCTTAACAATTCTCCTGTTTTGAAGAATTTTACTTTGCGTGCGAAGTCACTTTTATTTTCAAATTTGGCAGTTCCAAAAAATTAGAAGTTAAAACTTATAAAACCATAATTTTTAAAAAAATATTTTTTACAGATGTCAAAAAACATGTTTTTTCTTAAACGAAAGGAAGACAATATGGCTCCAATAAAAAAGAAAATTTTAAATAAAATATTTGACAGGTAGAATAATAAATTTAATAAGGAACAAGGCTAAGTACGAACTTCATTGTCTGAATCCCTTTAAAATATCTGAAGTATTGTAAATGTTACTGTTTAAAATAAAGTTGGCGTAACAATTCTCCTGGTCTGAAGATTTTTGCTTTGCGTAAAAAGTCGCTTTTATT